GACTAGTTCGGATTTGGGTGTGTGTCTAAACGGGTCATCAGGTATTCCTGATTTTAATCGATTTAGCGGCTTGATGGTCAATTGAATTGAATAGGAGCCGGATTGTCGGGGTTCGAGTTGACCAGCTTGGTCCTGTTAGATTCTTTTAACATATACTCCCTCCGTCGTTCCATTGGACTTTGCCAATTTTTCCTTTTTGGTTGTCCCAAAAAACTTTGTCGATTTTCTATTAAAGTAACTAATTTGTGGTTTTGCACATTTCTCTCTCCTCTGCACAAATATCAACCACACAATTTTTACTATTTTTATTTCTCAACTACTTTGCACTTGGCAAAGTCCACAGGGACAGAGGTAGTATTAAATGAAGTACTCCCTCCGTCCCGCTAATAATGGAACACAAACTTTGCCAAATTTGGTATGGAACAATCTTAGTGGGACGGACCGAAATGGTAAAACGGGACAATCTTAGAGGGACAGAGGTAGTATCAAATTACACAACTGCATGTCTGCATGTCATATAAATAATATAAATAAACACTAAATAGCATGTACTACGTACTAAAATATTGATAGGTAGGATTTACCTTAATGTGTGTAATTAGAACATAATCAGAGTATGTTATAAAATCCAGGTTAATTGTCTCAAATCCAAAACAGAGGATATCATTGATGCCTCTTTTTCTCACTAATTACTCACTCCCTTTTAGTCATCCACACACCTCCCATGGGTAATGGGTTTATGCTTACCTTTGAGATGAGGCTATTTACTGAACAATGTTTAAAATAGTTGAAAAAGGAACATAATCATTTAATTGACCTGAACAGTTGAGAATCAAATAGCTAGTCAACATTGGTCATCTTCATCTTCAATGTGATTACCTATATTAGTCATTTACTATGAATATGATTCTGACCAGAATTATCACCGAACTTTTCATCTTCATTCGCCCCTATTGAATCATAACCATGCTCATACTGGTATGTGGAATAAGTACCCCCATATATTATGGAACATCCATAATGAATTTGGATCAAAAGATGGGATGGGTTGTGTTGGTGAAGCCCGTTCAACAATGACATCACATATAAGAGGTTCAATGACTTGGATAAGTTGGGATGCTGTATTGTAGTCTTTTGATCTCATAATTTGTTTCTTGGTCGAATATTTAAGACCCCGACAGTGCAAGGTTCAAGGTTGTTACTCCTAAACGTTATTGAGTTGTAATATTGTACTTGCAAATCACATGATGAGTCTTTCACTGAGAATTTTGTCTTCACTCGTGAATATCCTACGATCTCATGGGACATGAGATCATTCATCCAATAATACTCTCGTGTAAACCCGTTTAACTTACAGTTCTTAGCGGGCGAGCTCCCGAATACTATAGAATATCTCTGAAGTCATCATATAAGAAAGTTATTTCTAGGTTTGGCTGGCTAGTCATTTGTTATCTCATTCTAATTGTCATTCTTGATTTTTCACACACTTTTTTACTTATTAATCTCAAACCTATTGATTAATAAAATCATCTTCTTCAACATGAAATGCAATTGCACACTCGCGCGGAAAACGAAGCAACGAAATAGTATTCACAACTTCAAAAAGGAATAAAAGGCTCGTCCAAAATTCTTTCAGAGTTTCTAAATCGTGAGACCACAATCATTTATATTTTTTTTCTCGAAGAAGGCTTAATTCATAAAAATAGCATTCAGCAAGGGTACAAAGCTAGAAAAGAACCACAAATAACCATCCGCCCGTAACCGAGACTGAGAACTAACCACCTGTAAAAAAGCAGTATAACTCGCTAGACCAAAATTGGGCAACTTAAAGCCAATGACGGTTCTCGCAGACTTTCCCTCCCCCAACCCTAATGCAAGAGTCTTACAAGGAATGAAATAACAAAAGAAAAACATAATAAAGCAACCTAAATTAATTTAACCAAAACAGGCAATAATAAAAACACCATTGAAAGTATTCTTCTCCACCACCACCCAACAGAGATAAGACGAGTCTATGAGACTTGACCTGCCCCCTCCCCATTTTTTGGTCCATCCAGAGTCATTCCTTCGTCATCAGCACCCTCTTCAGTCTGGTCATCTCATATCCTTCTGCGCTTTAGTTCTCAAGGGGTCTCTTCTCTTTCTTCACTCTCATGCAGTGATGGCTTGCTAGTCTTGGACTCAGCCGTATTTTCTCCCCCGAGCTTAGGCTTCCTCTGGCCTCCAAATCCATCTGAGCTAGAGGCTCCATCAGATAACCATTTATTAAATCTTGTCGGGCTAGTCTTCACCCTTCCTCCAGCTCTAAGCCCCACCCCATATATTTTTTCAGCTACAAAGTCCTCTTCATACTTCAATGGACAGAACTTGTCAGGATGCCCGATAATACCACAAATAAAGCAAAAGCTGGGTAATTTTTCATATTTAAAATCTACCCAATGTTTCACCCCATCCTGTGTTAAATTGGTACCTTTTTCAAAGGTTGACGAACATCCAAACACACTCGTATTCGCAGATAAGAACTCTGCTTTCCATCAAAATGGCACATCTCAAATTTAATAAAAGAGCCTAAAAAATTATCAATTTTCCTGGCAGATCTTAAATTCCTATACTTAATAGGAGCATTATGAACTTGTACCCAAAAGCTAGCCTCAAACAAGTTCATGGATTCCGGTATATAATTTGGTTGCACAACCTTTAGCAAAATTAATTCTTGCTCAAAAAGCCAAGGACCATCCTCTATCACACGATTCATATCCAAAACATGATTAAGGTTTAGCAAATACCTTCTTTCGCCGATCTCTTTGATAGACATACCTTTTACTGGCTTCCAGATAGAGGTCATCAGCTCTTGAAACCCAAGTAAGTTGACCTTGCGATTCGTGATGACAACCCCAACCACCGGAAAAGTCGCCGGTTCCTTCTCCTACTCGTTGCCTTCCTCTAGCTCCTCGCCAAAATTAAGCTCAAAATCCTGCTCCTTCATCGACATCTTCCTATACGAAGCCACTATCTCCTCCATGCAATAACTCTTCGTCTGAACCGCCTGCACTTCGTCTGAAATTGCTGCCCTGTGCTTCGCCCGAACCTCCTTCCTTGCTAAGCGATTCCCGGTCCTCGGCCGAGAACCGAGATCGGAGATACTAACCCTAGCGGCCGAGCCCTAGAAATACCGAAGATTTTGAGAGAGAAGCTCTCGCTCCGTTTAATTACTTATTTTTCTTCCTAACTTGGTAACTACTCCCACAATCATTTATATTTATTACGAGTAATTATTAAGCATTTGCATATAAATTTTGAAATGGAATAAAACGTACTAAGAGCCAATGCAAAAATGCGTTGTTTGTTTTAAAATAGCACTTTAGTTAATCTCTTTTCATTCGTAACTTTACTCCATCCGTTCTTTATTAACTGTTTTGTATTCTTTTTTGGGGGCGTTTTTAATTATTTGCCTCTCTTTCCCCTTTTTGGTAAGTTTTTCAATCAAAATACCTTATACACCCTTTTTATTACCATTACTTATTTCTCTTTGCTACTTTTTCATTTACCCACAACTCACTACACTTTTTACAGTACCCCTATTATTTTCCTCTTAAGACACGTGTCAAAGCCTAAGATGACAAATAATAAAGAATTGAGGTAGTATTATTTATTTCTAATAGTTAACAAGTACGAGGGTCACTGTGAGCCCATTTGGTAGCATAAAAATCGGCTGATTTGGCTGATTCTACTGAAATTTATTAAGTTCTGACTAAAGTGACTGCATTGGCTGATTTTGCTGATTTAAGAAAAAAAAATTTTAAAATATAATTTATTAATAAAATAAAGAAAAAATTATATGTAAAAATAGTTAAAATGATCTTCTACAGTAACTTCAGCCAATACAGCCAGAAAAATAACTTCAACCCTACTTTTTCTGCTTATTACACAATTCAGCGTGCCAAAGCAAAAATTACGTGTTTGGTAAAAAAGTTAACTGATAAGCCGTAAAACTGTGTTGCCAAACGACCTCTGTAATTAACAATAACTTCAATTTTGAGTCAAGTTTCTCTTGATGATCAATTGTTTCTATGCCTGATCATTGTGTCATTCAGTCCTTCTCTAGATCTTGGTGCATTGTATTCACAAATGTTAGGATGTTTTTACTTGGACCGTAATCTGTCCCAGACCAGACCAGATCAGACCAGACCAGACTTAGTTAATCATAAAAATACAAAAGATCAAACCAGACCAGATCAGACCAGAGTAGCAAGTTACAATCCATATAAAAACATTATTAGTCTTTTATTAATATAAATTTGGTGTTCCCTATAAACATAGGTTTATGTCAATTATATTTATTTTGGTTAATATTCAAAATAATGTTAAAAAGAGTTAAGTATCTATCCATCATACAAAATTATATATATAGAAATAGTTTAATTCAAAACTTCTTTTTTTATATTTTAAATGCATAACTCATATATTTTCAACTGAGGAACAAATATGCACGATTAGTATTTAGGGAAAATCCCTGAAATAGGAGTAAACAAGTTTGGAAATTTCAAAGTATGAATGCCTTGTTTTTATTCCCAAAATATGAATAATTATTGTCAAGTTTGTAAGATATTGCCTTGTTTAAAGTCTGATACTGACAAAATATGACGTTAATTAATCATATTTTAGGAATAAAAACATGACAGTCATATTTTGAGATTAATTATTCCCTTCAGATTAACTGAAGTATATTTTATTAAAGTCTGATACTGACAAAATATGACATTAATTAATCATATTTTAGGAATAAAAACATGACATTCATATTTTGAGATTAATTATTCCCTTCAGATTAACCGAAGTATATTTTATTTACATGGATATATAAAATTATTAATTTCATCATACTTATTTTATTTCACCACATACGTAGTACGGAGTATATATATTCCCACTAAAGAATACTCCGTATAATCGAATTTTTGGTTAGTTAGCTAAACACGCTTAAGCGGCGCGTACGTAAGCGTGGCCCAAAAAAGTCACGACGACCGTCACATTGTCCATATCACAGAGACGGTTGAGCGATATAAAATCCCAAATCTAATGGCCATAAAACCAGGCGGTGAAACCAGACAGGAAAAGAAGGTTATCCCCGTATTACCCTCCCCCCACGCCACCCAACCCACTTTACCCTACCCCCAACTTCCCTCTATCTATCCACCATCTTTGTCCTGTCTCTTTACAAATTTCCTCTTCTGAGTTCGGGCCATCTTCCCATCCCCGGAAGTTGTTAATTTATCACTGAATCCAGAACATACAGATCAAGGACACCGATTTCAATCTCGATTTTGTTTCGTTTGGATCAATATAATTATTAAATTATTGGATTATGATATATATTGGTATCGGAAGAGAGAGAGCTTGACAGGGGGAAGGGTTGCGTAGTTATGGGATTGGGCGATGTGGATCTTTTGGAAGATGGCGAGTCCGGATTCGAAGGAGGGGGAGAAAAAGCGTCGGCAGCGGTTTCGTGCTCGATTTGCCTCGAATCAGTGACGGATAATGGGGATAGATCTCGGGCTAAGCTTCAATGCGGGCACGAATTCCACCTCGGTTAGTTCTATTCCCAGCCGTTTTCCGTCCGATTTCCTAATTGAGATTGGTGGTATAGGGATCTGAGTAATTGTTATAGGAATGTCAAGTAGAATACTTTAATTGGATGTATTGCTTTTGGGGAAATCGGATTTCCCCTTGCTTTGTAGTTTGAATCGCATATTCTTCATTGTTAATATCTCTTAATTTAACTGAATTAAGTGGTTGACACACTGCTGCATATGTTCCACCTGTACTTTTCTTTTATGGTATTTAGTTCTTTTGCGAGGTTGGGTAACTCAGTGATGAGAATTTAGGTCTTCATCCCGTGTTAAAAATCAAAACTTTTCATTATATTCACCTAAATGGAAACTATCGCATACAATTTACTGGGGGAAAGTGTTAAACTGAACAATGATACACGCATTAGTTGACAAGACTTAGTTAGTCAGCTTGTGATGCAATAATGATGCAATTTCACATCATCATATACCAGCTAATGGTTTCTTGGTAAGCATTTTGTTAATAATATGATTAGATGGTTATCAATTTAGCTTATCGGGTTCTATCAAAAGAGTTACTAGTATATTATTGGTTTTAGAGGCTCTTAACATCTTCTATCAAAAGAGTTATATTATTGGTTTTAGAGGCTCTTAACACCTTCTTCAGGTGGGGGATACTTTTAAAATTTGATTGTCCTGTTTTATTGTAGGAGCTTTTGTTTTTCTCATTAAACGTGAAATTAACTCAGTGCTCGATACATACTTGTTCTTCTCTCAGGTAGGCTGCTTGCTATTAATTAATACGGAGTAGTTGTTAATGTGAAATTTTTACAAGGTGCATTATTGCTTGTTTTTTATATGATCACAGATTAATATTATTAGGTGTTAGGGACAAAAACTAAACTAATGTCAGTTATTTCTTTTGATCTTTACCTGCAACCTGAACTTATATCTACTTTCTACATTGCATTAAATTGTCAGCTACATCCAACTTAAGTAAAATTGGAACACCCAGTTTCTTATATTGGTCTTACTGTGTGTTTTAGTATTAAGAGGACAGAACACAAGGAAATTTATCAAACTTGCCTGGATTGCTACAATTATACTAAGATTTAGTGTGTTTCTCGATATGGTGACATTACTGTAAATTGATGCAGAGCTGTTCCTCAAACAGTTAGGCTTATATTTAGCATGATGATACACCCTTACTCAACTGTAGTGTTGGCGTGTTGCTAGGATTTTTGTATCGGTAAAACCAATCTCTTATGACTGAATTTAAAATTAGATTTGTTTATCATTAATTGATTGTTTTTGTTTCTTTTAAATACCAAACAAAGTTAGATGAATGTTAAAGTCAAAGAGACATGTAAGATATCTTGATTGGTGTTCAGTTGAATGTGATGATTTTGAGCTTTTATATATTCTAACCTTTTGTCTTATTCTGCCCACAGATTGCATTGGATCTGCATTTAATGCAAAGGGGGCAATGCAATGCCCGAACTGCCGAAAAGTTGAGAAAGGTCAATGGCTTTATGCTAGTGGACATCGATCATTGCCCGAGTTTAGCATGGATGATTGGGCGCATGATGAGGACCTTTATGATCTAAGTTTCTCTGAAATGGTCCGTTTACTGTTTCTATTTACCATTTTAGCTCATTGTTATTCTAAATTTTTAAGGAAAAATTGATATTAATAATCCCAACTATTGGCGGTCCGTCTATAATAATCCCAACTATCGATTATTTCAGAATAATCCCAACTTTAGGGACCTTCCGCCAATAATGATCCCTTTAAATAAATTGTTGTAGTTTCTAAGGTGGATGAGAAGAGATATAACAAGTAATCCCTATAAATAATCCCAAGTTTTAATTTTAACGCTTAATTTCTATTTAAAATTCACTTTTTATAAGAGGTAATATTTGGTCATGGACCATTATTGGCGGACAGTCTATATAGTTGGGATTATACAAAAATAATCAATAGTTGGGATTATTATCGGCAGACCGGAAATATTTGGGATTATTATTTTCAATTTTTCCAATTTTTAATTCACCATTGTATGCAAGATATCTGCCACACTTGTATACTTTTGTTTTCCTTCATTTTAAAACTTCAGGTTTTTGTGGATGTATTTTACATTTTACGCAATTGTATTTTACAATTGTTTCTAAGGGAAAGTAGCTATTATGCACTCCACCCTATCACCATCAACCCATTTACTAGATAATTTGCAAAAATAAAAGATTAAGAAGTATGTGTGGTAATGTAAATCATATTGTCTGAAGCAATAATGCATTTATGTTTCTGCTCTCATTTCTTGATGGTCTAATTTCGTTGCACTGGCATGAGCTTATAATGCAAAATGAATTAATGGGGATTAGCAGTGGTTTATAGCTTTTTCCATCATTTGCAATGGAGCCAAAGATTCATTATTTTTTGGCTTGAGAATATGATGGAATAAAGCAAAATGGCTTACTAAACTGTTTACGCTTCTTTGTTATGAAGCAGCCGTCAGTCCATGCAATTTTGGACGCGATTTTCACTATGAGTCATCCGGAAACAGTCTCTCTGTGCTTTAGTACAGGGGTAAAGACTGCGTACATCCAACCCCCCCTTACCCCACCGTAGGTGGGAGCCTTTACGGCACTGGGGTAAATGAAAATGAAAATGAGCAGTGGTGTATAGCTCTGGATATTGGAGTGCAGAAAACGAAGGGGTGGGATATTTTAATAGGCTTCAGAAAAGAATCCATGTCCCTATGGGAAGATATTAACAAAACATTGGGAAAAAGAAAGAAAGTTGTGTAAGGGACCACGATTACAAATTTACAGCTCAAGATAGCATGAAGGGTGTAAGCTGCCAATACAAGTGGAGAAGAACACAGAAATATTTTTGTAGAAGCAGAGTCACAGAAATATTTATGTTAGAATGATAATGTATATACAAAAGGTGTTGCTTGAGGACTCGGTTTCTTTAATAAGTTTTTGTTGTATAGTAGAGGCAGCTGTAGCTTTAGACCAACAATTGTGTTCTCTGACACATTGGAGAAACTGTTCTGGTTTTATTTGTTGTTCTGGTTCATGATTGAGACTGCCTTTGCTTGCTTCAATCAACCAGTCGAAGCCTTAGTCTCAAAAGAGTTTGGGGTCAGCTAACACGATTGAGACCATCTTTGCTTGCTTAAACCAAGTAAATGTTTCTGAACTTGGCATTTCTGGTTCCATCGGAAATGTATGTACGTTGTTCATAGACACTCCACCTTTAATAAGCACCATACATGATGACCAAATCACCATTATGACTGCATTATATGCCTATGTGATATAAATTTGTATTTTGGACATCTAAGGTGAACGAAGATTGGACTTGAAATCTCTTATATGTGTAGCTCAGGCCCACTGAAATTTCTGTGGTGTTCTATATATAAATATTTATGGCTGATATCCTGATACGTCAACTATTTTCGACTGATTTTTTCACCGTGGTCATTTAAATACCAGACTATTTTTAAGGTTTGAATTGGTTAAAATTCAATGTTAGAAACAATCCCTGCTATTTCTGTATAAAGGGGAAAATGGTGAGGTATAGGTCTCAGCTAAAGTAAACTTAAGGAATGTTTAGATATACAGAATCAGTATTTTGTTCGTTACTTCCTGATGTTTCGTTTTTATTTGGGTTTAATTGGTATCACATGAGCTGTTCGCAAACTGTTCCTTTCTTCTTTCTGCATCCTGTGTTGGTAAAAATACTATCACAGTGCTGTCAAGGAAAAAAGTGTAATTGTTGTGTACTCATTAAGTTTTCCTGATTTATGCATGTGTTGCAGTCATTTGGAGTTCACTGGTGTCCATTTAGCGGATTAGCTCGTCTACCTTCATCTTTGGAGTAAGCACAATTTTATCTTGGTTGTATTTTTTGAACTTTTGTGGTAAGCCTTTGGTTGTGATTGTTTTTCTTTTGTTCATAAGTAGCAGGAGACTACATTTTCAGATTATTATCATTATTTGTATAACTCTAATAGGGACCTGGACAGGAGAACTAATAGTAACAATATTAGCTACTTTAATAAATTAGCTAATAGCTGAGGTGGCCACCTCATGATTCGGGTATTATTAGTATGAGTGGGAGTAGAGGGAAAAGGCGGGATTGGGTTAGATCAGGAAACTCGATCTGGGAGAGAGAGACACTCTCAAATGTGTCTCACTCCTTTCCTTCTGCCGTTTGCCCTGTAATTTCCTAAGGATATCTGAGATCTTCTCAGAATGCATTGTTCAATATACAATCCTAGTGTTGTTTGTCGTGTTCTCTATCATTGGTATCAGAGCAGCGTCAATCCGATCAGGAGGTAGCAGCACCTGGCTCGCGTATGAACATGGAGAACCAGATGCAGACTGTGGAGCGTATGGAAGAGATGAGGATGATGGTGGAGGAAATGCGAAATCTCTTACTCCATCGCAAGATCCTTGCTTCGCGAGACTTCAATGAAGAGGGATGAGGATTGATTTACCCCTGTTCAATGGAGACGATGCCTATGGATGGGTCACTGGGGTGGAACTAAATTTCAGACTCAACAATGTGGCTGAGGAGGAAAAGGTGGAGTGGTGGTGATTGCCATGGAGGACAAGGCCTTGAAGTGGTTTCAATGGTGGGAAGAGCAGACCACAGGTTGCACTTGAAAGCCCTTTAAAGAGGCGTTGGTCAGAAGATTCCAGCCAGAATGGGTGCAAAATCCATGTGGGCCTCTGTTAAGTGACAAGCAAACAAGGACAGTGATGGCCTACGGAGAATGAAATGGTGGTTGCTCCACTGAGGCACACTGACAGAGACATTCTTAAGGGCATTTTCCTGTAGAGAATAAAAGAGGAGGTCAGAGCAGAGTTCAAGCTACAACATCCTAGCAGTTTGTCTGAACTAATGGTCAGAGCACTCTTGCTGGAAGAGAAGAGCATAACCATGAGGGCTGGAAGAAGCAAAGAAGAAGATAAGAGAGGATGGCACTATGGCAGGAGAAAGGCGGAACCCTGCCAATGTTTCAGCACTGGAGAATTACCCAAATTAATCCATATATCAGTGAGAAGACATCAACGGATACTCAAACAGAGGACTCAGCAGGGCAGAGTAAGGCCTGAATGGATGATCACCGGCTGTCCCAAAATGAGTTACAAGAGAGAAGCAGAAAGGGTATATGCTTTACAGGTGAGGAAAAATGGAACAAGGAGCATAAATGTAAATTGAGACACGACCACATTGTCCTTCGGGAAACTCCAGAAGAGGAAGAACAGAAGAGTCAACTGTCTGAGCCAGATGTACCAGAAATTCTGATGATAGTGACCTTGAGGACAAGGTGGTAGTAAAAGAGGGGAGTGATGATAGGGACCTGGGCAGGAGTACTAATAGTAACAATATTAAATTCTTCAATAAAGTAGCTAAAGCTGAGGTGGCCACCTCTTGATACGGGTATTATTAGTATGAGGAGGAGTAGAGGGAAAAGCGGTATTATTAGATAAGGAAACTAGATCGGGGGAGAGACACTCTTGAATTTGTCTCATTCCTTTCTTTCTTCCGTTTGCCTCGTAATTCCCTAAGGATATCTGAAATCTTCTCAGAATCCATTGTTCAATATACAAATCCTAGTGTTGTTTGTCGTGATATCTCGAAAAGAGTGTTTGTGCAAGATCACTTAGATGGTGTGACTGCAAGAAGTGTAATTAAATTGGTTGCCGATTGATATTGAATAATGATCTATGGTTGCTGATTGGTAATTCCGAACCTCATTCGTCCTTGACAGAGTGGAATGAAAGACCAGACCTTGTTGAGGACTTTACATACTACCCGCAAGAGTCATCAAATACATAATATGAAGACAAAATATTCGGTTAATAATAACAACATACGCCTGCTAGTACTAAGTATCATCTTTGTCTGCTTATCCATGTCACATGTGGTATTAATGTGTGCGCCTGAAAAATGCATACAACTATGCCCCTTGTCCTCAAGCTCAATGGCCTCTAAGGTGTCATCGTGCCTTCTTCCCAGTGTTACAAAAAGCACACTGCATGCTAGTCTAGGTGCAGAAGATCCATGAATGTCTCAGGCGGAGTCATCAGGGTGAGGCGCAACAAGCGCACGCTTTTTAGGGAGGCGCGAGACAAGAACTTGTTGCGCCTTGGGATGTTCTCGTTGGTCTGTTTTGTGTACTTCAATTATGGGCTTCAGTGTAGCTTTTCTAAAGGCACATATCCTGCTGTAATGTCAATCAAACCAAATAATTATTTTTACACAAAAGTTAGGGTTGTATCCCCCTGCAGAAGAATTACACAGCAGTTTCATCCTGGTTCTGTTTTTCATTTTGAGTATTATTGGTCATAGTTTCTTGTACACACACCAAAAGTGTGTAATAATAAAAACATCTATAAAGCACATCCCGTTGTTAACTTGTTAAATAACTTTTACAAAGTTTTTGTTCAACTAACTTATTATACTTTTGTGTTTGTGTTATTATTATACTACGTATTATACTAAATGAGTACCAAAAGCTTCAAAATCTACTCGTTCGTTACTTTCAGTTTTCCAGGGTCCTCCTTGTGGATTTTTTCATTACTTTGTTCAACTGACAGATTATAAAAACATAGAAATCAAATCAGTTAGTTCATTACATTATTGGCACTTGTAGTCATCCATTTGTCTTGGTTCAATCTTTATGCTGTAATCAGTTTTTCACTTAGTTGTGATATCAGCCTAAAATGTTTATGGCTAACATATCATGTTTGTGCAAATGTTTTATTTTTATATTGAATAACATGTGTCTGATAGTTTGAGAACAATGTGATGATGTTCACTAACATGTGTGTTGCATGAGTATGGTGATCGGTTTTTTTCTCGTGACTCGGGTAATATGAGATCTCGGTGCCTCGAGTGCATTTCTTCTTTGACTACCTTGCTTTTTCCAGTAGCTGGCCTTCCCACTGTATAATGACCTGTTGTCTGCATTTAACTTAATTTCATAAGAAGTCTACATATCTGGGGCAAGATGTTATAGTCCATAAGAGGTATATGAGTGGGTATTTTGGGTTGATTGCGACCAAAGGCAGTTCAGAAAGTGGTGTTCCCCAAATTCGTATGGTAGACACTAGGACATATGGCAATGTTCAGCCCATGCCGTCTATCATAGTTCTCTTTAAATTAATATGTCCACAATGAAAACTTTTTGCTACCATCACCGTAGAGAAGAATGTTTTACATGTGTGAGAACCACAATCAAAACTCAAGGAACGATGTAATAATAAAACACAATTCATTAATGTGAAGAGGAAAAAAAAGGACCTAGACTCTTACAATAGCTAGTCATTAATGTCAGCTACGACAAAATAGTACTCCCTCCGTCCCTTAAAACTTTGCCAAGTTTGACCGGCACGGAGAATAATAAAGTAAAAACTGTGTGGTTGAGGTTTGTGGAGAGGAGAAAGAAATAACAGGAACCACAGAATAATTGATTAAAATGGAAAGTGGCAAAGTTTTTTGGGCGTTCCAAAAAGGAAAGATGTCAAAGTTTTAAGGGACAAAGGGAGTAATATTTAGTTGTTCCCCCCGCCTGTGCCAAATTTGACTCGGTTCGAACCACAGAAATACAAATATGCAATTAAGGTGTGAAGTTGTATTGGAGTATAACTGTATAGGACTTTAAGAGTGTCCCCTTCACCTGTGCCAAATTTGACTTGGTCCGAACCACAGAAATGCAAATATGCAATTAAGGTGTGAAGTTGTATGGAGTATAAGTGTATAACTGTATAGGACTATAAGAGTGTCATTCCTGCATGAAGTGACTTAAGTAATGTTGGGTGTTGAGTACTTAAGGCAGTGGAGCCAAACACATGTTCATTACTATCAAGTGGAAATAGCATGTTATAGTTCTGTAGCAGAGCAGCTTGAAGCTGCTACAGGGCCCCATGCAGTGGAGCAGATTAGTAAAATGGCTGTTGCGGAAGCTGGGGTGGCCTAAAGTGTTTAGGGATAATACATCAAACATAATGGACGGAAGAGGTCCTCTTTGATTAAGATCACTCTTAGAGCATAATTATCTCTTATTTTGTTGATCTATGTATGTATGTATGTTGAGACAAACTAATACTCCCTCCGCCCCAAATTATAAGATACTTTTCAGTTTACGATGTTTGACCGACGATAAAGCAAACGGATTTCGGTCTGCACTCAAATTATTTTTAGAAAAAAAATTACATATTGAGAAACTACATTAAACCCGCTACAAAACCTGCAAAAATAATTCAAATTTCATAAAAATTTGATATATAAAGTAAGAGATTAAGAGTGATTTGTGTTGCCCAAGTGAATAGTAAAGATATCTTATAAAATGGGACAGAGGGAGTAGATGTTTTAGCATACATTTTGACCTTGAAGGTATTACAGCGTTAGTCTTCACTTTTGATGAGGCTGTTTGAAAGTTGAAACTATTTAAGTCAGTAAGCTACTAAACCAGTAATGATTACAAAGATATCTTGTTGAATCTGATTGAGGGTCCTTTTTAGATTGAGGGTCCATTTAAATGATTCCTGCCCATTCATTTTATCTTTTAATAGGGGAAAATAGTTATGCGCTCTCTCCTTTATTTCAGTTCATTGCCCCCACTTTGATTATTTTCTTACTAACACCATCAAAATGAAAAAAAACTCACTCTCACTTTTGGCATTTGCAGTGAAGGAGATTTCACATCAAGTGCATGTAAGAGGAGACACTTTTGGCTATCTTTAATTAATAATGGTTAATTCTTCTTAAAATCTGTGTGTGATGTGATTTTTTGCATGAATGTAGATCACGATCTTCTTGGACAGCACCCTCTGTTTGCTGCTGAACACACTCCGGTCTCTTCGTCAACTCATCATCCGTGCCCATACATTGCATATGTGGGTATTCACCCAACATCCTCAAGTTCAAGTGGGACTGTCTCAGACGGTGGTCCCAATTTCAATAGCCACTGGAACAGTTCTGCAGTTCCAAATGAAATTCCAGCAACCTATGCTTTTCCTGGAATGGATGCTCCTCTTGGCTGGGAGTGGGAGCACCCCTCATCTTCTTTCCCAACAAGTAGCAGCCGGATTGGTAATGCTGAACAACCACCTTCGGTTCCCTCTGCTTCTCATAGAGCTCCTAGAACAAACTCTGAGATACCACCAAGGCCTGGATCCTTTGTCCATCCATTCCTTGTCAGTCACAGGTAGATGTTTTGTTATTATGCTCCCTACCAGTGTTTCTTCACGCCTGACTGGGTAGGGTAAACTGCTTTATTTTTTTAGTCCCTCATCATTAACATCTGCAGAAAATAAAATATAAATTTTAAACCGTTGTTTTGTACCCTTTCTGAAAGGGGAAAATTGTTGATGACTTATTAGAAATAATAACGAGGGTTTATAATTTTTTTTATCCATTTATGAAATTTTCATTTTTCGCCCCTTTTCATTAACTTTTGATATAATAAGCCTTTGGTTGTTTTAGTCCTCCCTATTGGTCCTGTTAACAGCGAATGACTGAAATTGCTACAAAAAGGATTTACATTCCCGATAGCCATTTTGCAGTGCATACATTTTTGCAAAACCCTGTAGTCAATTCTTTGCATTTGCATGGCATTTTTAACAGCTCTGGTCGACCTGGGAGTTCAGTAGCCTCACCAATGGTTCCTCCCTACCCTGGGAGTGTTGCCCGGGCTCGTGACCGTGTCCAGGCTCTTCAAGCATATTTTCAGCAGCAACCCAGCAACCCGTCAGCAGTACGGACGCCGGTCGTATCAGGAGGAACTCGGAGATCCAATGGACACAGGGGGATTCACATGCAACAGGTTCCATCATCCTCATCTGATCACCACCACCTCCACCACCACCATCAGCCTGCCTCCGCTGCAGGAGGGTTTTACTTCTATCCATCATCATCTGCTGCTGCAGCTGCTGCTTCATCTGGAAGAAGCTTCCAAGAAGCAACAGAGAGCCCTTCACCCATCCGGTATCGTGGTTGGGAGCAGCGAGAACATACAGGTCCAGCCTTCAACAGCTTGCCACCACAGGTGGAAAGAGATCCTATTTGGGGCCCGTTTTACCACCAAGCATCAGCCAGTGGGTCGGATTCTTCTACGATCAGATCGTCTGGTAACTTCCGCCAGAGACATGGATCTGATAGGATGCCGTCTCAGAACCGGTAATAGGTCTGATCTTCCATTACTCTCTATCTATGGCCGAAACAATTATTTATGTTTTTTCTTGGTTTTTTGAGAAAACCGTTGTACTGGCTTGGCTGGCTGTGTGTAGTCTGTCTCTCAAAGACCACCAGGGCAGATATCTAAAACTGTCATTCGTCCATTCCAGCAGCAGGCCCCGGCTTGACAGTTGTGCCATCCTCTTTCCCAGTTTCTTTGTGCCCCCAAAAAAGGGGTATAAAACATTACCATATATTTAATGGCGGAACAGTAAGTGTGCACTTGCACAAGTGGTTGGTTACCTTTCATCTTGTTGAGTGTTTGATCTGTATTGGGGATTCTTGTTTGCTTGATTTTCCTTCTCATGTTATCACCTATAATGAATTCTATAATCTGAAATGGGAAAATGGATTGCAATCTCAACTCTCAACCCATACGTTTTCATTTTAAATAGAGCAATAACAATTTACAATAAAGTTCTGCGGGGATAAAAATGTTAATTTGATTTCATGTGATTTGGGATGTTTTTAATTCAAGTCTAATCGTGTAGATTTTGTTCTATGTGCATGTAGGGATGGACTGGATGGGCCTACCTGACCTGTTGCCTGACCCGTCTGCCACTGTTTAGGCCCAGCCCTTCCCGGTTGTTAGGGATTGGTACCAGGCCCAGTGGAAGACGTAGGCGGGCTTCGGGCTAGTGGACCGGTCGGGCTGGGACCAGTCTGGGCCTCAATGGTCAAATATTCAAAATAAATCCATTAAATCATTTGGCTTGATTCGACCCGTCACTGTTTAGGCCCGACCTGACTTTACCCGGTACGGTACAAACCCGGGGCCTGAAATCCTTAAGCCTGAAGCCTATTTCCGTCTTGTCGTAATGCATTCCAATCTGATTTGATTTAGTTTGTTTAAGTTTGATCCAATCTGGTTTGGTTTAGCATTGAAACTTGTCCAATTAAATTTAGTTACTATTTACCAACACACGGGTAATATGTCAGAGTTTAACCTTGTTACGAGTTTTAGGAGGCGTTTACTTCGCTGCTAAAGTCACAGTTAAGACAGATGAAGTAAACACGCATGCTGTTTAATAAGTCGCGTTCACTAACCGAAAGATGTGCTTAAAGTGCCGCTTATTATCACATGTATTAATTAAGCGGCACTTTAAGCTTTTTCAGTTTCCGAATTTACCCCTTACCATTACCCTATTGTTACTCTATTCGTTACCCCCACCCCACCCAACCCCACTACCTCAAAGTCTCAAACCTTGACCCCACCCTACCCACTACCTCCATCATCCAACCTTACCCCTCCCCCTACCACATGCTTCTACCTCGGTCCCACCTCAACCCCACCCTACCTCCATCCTACCCCCCACCCTATCTTACCCCGACCCCGCCCCAACCCCTACCCTACCGCCATCTTACATGACCCCCCACCCTATCTTACCCTGACCCCGCCCCAACCCCCACCCTATTTTACCCCGACTCCACCCTACCCACCCCTTACCCTACCCCACTCCCTACCACTTGGCCCCACCCCGATCCCAACACCACCCCATCCCCACCCCTAGCCCACCTACCCCAACCCTACCATACCCCCCACCACATGCCCCTACCTCAGCCTCACCCCGATTCCGATCCCACCCTACCGCCATCCTACCCCCACCCACCTCCCCTATCGTGGTAGGTAAGGGTAGAGGTCAAGGGTGTGGAATTGGGGGGGGGGGTGTAGGGGTGGGGGTACGTGGCGGGGGTAAGGGTTAGGGGTATGGGTACATGTACGAGGTGACTCCATATATTATATTATATATTGGTGTTCATGGATGTTTGTGTCTTTATATATGTATATGGTTATTTTGGACATTTTAATGTTAAATGGTGTTTTAAACCCTATGAAGTAAACACGATCTTACAACATTGCTTATTTTATGCGTCGTTTATTAACGCGGGTCTTAATAAGTACCGTTTTGTAACTTGTGAAGTAAACATGTCTTTAGAGTATTAATGCTCCGTAGAATTTACCACGCCAAATTTAGATTTAAGGCATGATAATGGGCGATGTGTTAAAAAAGGGAATTTTCCGGAAAATAGGGGTAAATATGTTTTCAAATTCTTAAATAAGAATATAAGATTGTTATTATTCTTCTCGAAATAGGAGTATCATGTCAAATGAGTGGTCTAGCCACTCCTTTCTTTAGCATTGGAGGTCGGCTCTTCTTTCATATGGAAGAATATGTCTTTCACCTTTTCTCTGCTTAAAATCTTTACTTACCAATAGTTGTAGTATTAGGCATTCAATATTACAGTATTTTCGTTAATGGCATTTTTAATCATGACATTTTTGAATCATGACAGTAATAACTTATATTCTGAGAAGAAGAAAATAATAGTTCTATTTTGGAATTCTAAAAACTCCAGCAATTGCCCCATTTTAAAAGCTCATTTGGTAATTGAAAAGATGTTCGAATTGTCTACTTCAATTGTTTGTAGACTATTTTTTTAAATCATATGCATATTTTTTAATTATTTGATCAGAATGTCGGGTCAAATTTGATTTTTATTTAATTTGAATCTTTCTGATTTATCTTTGTCCGAATAATTATGTTCTAATTTGACGATCTTCAAAAAATCTGATTTGATTGAGATAAGAATTTACAATACATAGTAAGAACGCAGTGCTTCTAAGATTTGGTCGAAGTTGATAACCCCCATAAAATGTGGTGAAAGTGTGGAATTTGTGCTTCACAATTGAATTGGTTTAATTAACAGATTGGATTATCTAAGTATGTATAAAATTTAAAATAGAAAAGTTGAGTGGATTTGAGTCATTTTCTCAACTCGCTATTATGATGTTCAGATTAGAAGATACAAAGAGATAAAAGTGCAATAATTCATTGTATTTTGATATTTTATTGCATAAAATGGATTCAGACTTATTTGGAATAAGCTATAGTGGCTGGAGTTCGAATGCAAATAAGGAAATAAGTACGAGTATGAGAACATTTTTCGAAGATTCATCTATCCAATTGAAAGGGTATTTGGTAGTTTGGTATTAAGAATGCAATGATAGGTTCAAAAGAAGAATCCAAGTTCATGGATTTTACCATACTATTTATAGACCGATCACCACAATGTTTCAATACATATTTCGAAATTATTTTTTATGTTCAAAACGGGTGGAAATATGCGATGGGGTGCAAGATAAATATGTTGCAATGATCAAAATCTTCCGATGTCGCAGAAATGTCATGTGATGCTCGGAAATGATCGACGGAGTTGAATAGAAGGATCATTATAACCAGCTCTTTGTAATTCACCAAAGACAACAACGATTTATTTGATCATATGAATGATTAAATATATAAGATTGTTTCAAGTTCGGTTTATAGATATAACCTTTGCAACTTTATGGTACACTATTAGAAAAGTGACACTAAATTAGTGTAACTCCAATAGTTTATATTTGAATTTGTGCAATTCCTTAACCGCCGTAATTTTTACTCCTACAAATAGTTTAGCATGTTTCTTGTTCTTATCTAGGGTGCGGAAGATTTTACTCACTCGTGTCAATTAGCCCATTAGGAGGTTTGTGAACTTTTATTGCTCTACACGGTGTTTTTGAGCAAATAGGTTTCATGTTACATCAATTTAACGTTGACAGATTCGTTCGATTGCGACTTAATAATGTCATCACATTTTCTGTTTCATTTTCTCTTTTTGTTTCTGCATTCTTGATTTATACACATGATTAGTCTTGTTGGTTCTTTGCTAACAAATTTTGGTGTAGCAACTATATTTAAATTCATCCTATTTTTCAAGCATTTCATAATGGGACATTTAACCCTTTCATATGACCGGCAGGAGTTGCATGGGTATTCTGTAAAAATATATAAAGAAATGATATTTAATGTTTTATACCATGTTTTCTACCATTAGTTTTGTTGTCATGTAAGACATTCTTCTTTCAAACAAACGCACTTCGTGGCAACTGGCAAACCTAGACTACTTGGTAGGCAGAACAATTGCATTGATGCTCTTCGAACTAATTGTTTTTGTTGTCCCTATAAAAATTCCAAATGATCTCAAAGACAAATATCATACTCAAATTATTATATTTATATGAGAGTTGCCCTCATATAAGTCTCATATAAATATTTATGTTTTTTCATAATATATTTTACACTTTAATCTCAAAATCACTTCGCGGCATATCTTAGAATATGTTTATGTTTTTTCATAAGTGATTTATTTTATAGATTATAGAAGTGTTTCAATTATAAAACTTGATAGTGATTGAAAAGAAAAGTGATTTAAAAAGTAAGAGTTCTACTATGTAGTGTTAAGTGAAAAAATATGTTTTAATGTACTATTTAAGTAACATTTAGTATGTTTGGCTCAACTAGTTGAAAAGATACTTTTGTGAGCTTTTTAGTAACTATTAGCTTTTAGTGACTGAAAAGATCTTGAAAAGAAAAAGTGATAGTTGTTTGGTAAAAGCTGACTGTTTGATTTAGTTCGCTTTGATATACAAGCTATTAGGACTAAATAATACTAAAAGTCACGAGTTTTTCTCAGATGCTACATCCGGTAACATCTCAAAAAGATCTTTTAATTTTTGAAAAGTTCTTAAAAAATGTCATGTCAAACATATAACTAGAGTCTTTTAAGGTCTTTTTAAACAGTAGATAAGCTAGAAGCTAGAGGCTTTTGTGTGTCAAACATATCCTTAATAGAAAATGTGAAGAACTCTTTTAGACATCCCTCTCTGTGCCTACACTTTTGGTTTTAATGTGCATAAATTTAACCGCATATAAGTATCAATCAAGTATTCAAGTGGAAAAACATTTAGTAAATATGTAAACACCTCCTAGTGGTTTCTCTCAAACACTATTATATACTTTTGTTGTTTTTTTTTTCTTTTTTTAGACGAAAGAAATCTTTTATTCCGTATTAAAGAAAGGGAAAAAGTACAATGCCAAAAAGAAGATAAAAGGAAAAAAGCAAACAAAGGAAAACAATGAAAAGAGAAGGCCCAAGTGTAGGTAAATGAGTGCCTCACACGATAAAAACAAGCCCTAGCTCCCTAAACCTACAATGAAAAGTTGATTCCCCATTCTATAAATTTTCATCTGCAAGTTTATATTACCGGTAGCAAACAGTTATTCCTCGTGACCAACAATGTCTTGTTGCATAAATTCTCCATTGTCAATATAGGAGTCCGTTTTTCGTTCTCTGAAGTGTGACCTGAGAAAATACACTCAGGAAGCCGAACTTCACATTTCCACGATCTGGAAAATCTGAATGATCAAAAAACAAACTAGTTGGAGCTGGGGGTGGACTCGGGCCGGGCCTCGGGCCTTTGTTATTTTTTTTCCTTTTCCTAGTTAATCCCCAACCCCCCCCCCCCCCCCCTCACCCCCAAACCACCCCAAACGGCCCAAATTGCCCAGCCATACCCGAAAATTAAAAAAAAAATTGAAAACAAAAA